CAGACCACACTTCCTCAGTTTACCTCTGAGGTTGCTGTGGGAGAAGCCCATCTCGTACACCCATCACATTTCCCAAGCCATGCCAGGGTCACTCTGCATCTTTTACTGCTCTACAGTGAAGAGCAGCAAAGCTTCATCCTGAGCTCCAGGGATTAAGCATTTCCAATAAGAGATGAGGAACAGGGTTATGTATCTAGATATAGGTCACAGTAAAGCGCAGTCACATTTATCAGTCAAAGCCTGTCGCTTTTCACTCCCACAGGTTTTGTCAATGTAGGAAAGCACCATAACAGGAGCAATATTGCGTGCAGCAACATGGAAACCTGAAATAAAAAGATATCCAACAGGAGGTTCTCTATATCGCAATTGTTGTCTAAATTAAAAGAATATCAAATTGCGTGGGTTTATCATTTCTTTTAAAAGAATGTCATGATTCACTTCTATCCAGCATGAGCATATGGGGCTGGAATTTGATTTCTTTTTTATTTGTTTTCTACATTTTGAAGGATTTTTTCTGTTGGAGGGCAGAAATACGTGTCTAAAGATCACAAAATCCATCCCAGAGACATGTCTGAGATCACGGTTTTGAAAAGGAGCCATGGCCACCATCAAAGGACGAGACATATTTCACCCAATAAAAAGGAAAACATGCTGTTTTGTGCTCTCAAGTGTGACTCATTTCCTGACGCAGTTAGGTTATGCCTAGGAAAGTTAAGGTCAGATTAAGAGATCACTAATGCCTTTTGTAGTGGTCTTTGAGACCAGGACTACAATACCAGAATAAGGCTGTGGAGGCCTTTGAAGGAGAGATCTTCTTGGAAATACAGCATGAGTCTTTGTCGGGTTTGTCCTTGGCTTTTTGAGTTATGGAGCTCTTGTTTTGCTGCATTGCCTTTGATTTTTGCTAAATCCCCACGAGGATAAGCTTCTCTACTGTCTCTTTACTAGAAAAGTGATATAAAAACATCATCTTCCTCACCAGAACATTCACAGAGCTTTGCAGGGATAGCCTTGCTACTTCTTGCTACCTCATTTCAAACAAAAAAACCCAGAAGCTGAAAGAAAAAAAAAAACCACCCTCAATCTTCCTGCCACTCCTGCCAAATGAAACAACAGCCAGACAGGAGCTCAGTCTGATGCTCCTACATCAATCTTCCTGCTCTTCAGCATGCTGTACATCACAACCACACAAAATGCTGTAGTGACCCCATCTCAAATACTGTCTCTCAGGCTCAGCACACGGCAGTTACACCCAGAGACCAACCCACAGACCTGTTGCCTGAGGATGCAGCCAGCACCTCCTCTGGTGCATGCTCCGCCATCTGCTCAACAAATTCAAAATAGCACCAGAATTTCCAGGTGGATGCAGAAAGGAAGAGAGAGAGACTAAGCTGATCTGAGCAACAGTCATACAAACAAAACCCAGAAGCAAATATTTTCAAATACATCAGCTACAAATGACCAAAATGTCATCAGAGGAAGGAGACAGACCTGCTGTTGTTTTCATACCACAGAGCTCAGAGGGGAACAAATTTTCCTGTTACAAAATACGATGACTAGTTAGGTAGTATGGTTTCTGCCCAACACTATGACTTAAGCACTCAACTGAGAGCTCCATCTGCTTTTTTTTTTCAAATAACAGTATTTTATTAAGAAAATGTTGCAATGGGAGTGATTTTCTACTAACACCATGAATGAGTATGGATTAGTGATTGTCTTATTCTACTGTACAAAATGAAATACAGAACAAAGTAATAAGGAACCCCCTGATAACCACAACTTGGCTGCAGTGACATGAAAGAGCAGGATGTGAACATTCAGGATGTAAGCGTCCACTGAGTGGACTGATTCCACCACCAGGTTTTGCTGCCTTTCAGAAGCAATGTTGAATGGGTGAAAAAAAAAAATCATTTCCATGCTTTCTGCTTTTTCTACCAAGCCAATGAGCAGAAAAAGAGACAGAATCAAATCATTCAGGTGATCCACAGAGCTTTCCTTTGCTGGCCACATAAGGGTCACCATGAGCCAACTGGAAAATTGACAACAATTACAAGTCTTGATGTTCTTCACACACCACTGTTCATCAAATACATACCCCAATGAGAGTTAAAGTAAGAGAATTTTGTGGCTCACCACAGGTGTAGATGACATTAAGATGCTTTCGGATGCCTGGGTAACAAGGATCTCCAAATTCATAGGTGCTGGCATATATGCTGCAGCTTCTTTTCCCGTGACAGCGCTTGATCATGAGTTGGAGAGCAGTAGCCGACTGACACTCTAGAAGGGAAAAAGGATACCTATTTATGAATATTTGTTCATTCACATTAGAGATTGACCAAAAAAATTTACCAGATGCAGACTGTGAGAGCACATACATATGAACTTTCTGTGAGTATGCACAAATCTTTATGTTTACATAGGAAGGTGCATCTGATTCTCAAACTTCACTAATAAATTGTAAATTGATGAAAGGAAATTACAAAAAAAACCCATGAAAAAATAGGAAATGCTCATACACCTATAGAAAGAAGGCTGCAAATAAAAGATGGTGCTACTGTCATCACTGATAGGCTCAGGCTTGGCCAGCAGCAAGTCCCCCTTGGAGCTGGCTGGCATTGGCTCCATCAGACGTTGGGGAAACTTCTAACAACTTGTCATAGAAGCTACCCCTGCAGCCCTCCCACTAGCAAAACCTTGCGTGCAAACTCAATACAGCTTGTTTCATTTTGAGGGGGAGACATAGAGAGAGTTTGGGAAGACTTTTTAGTGTTTGTTATGTCCAATACAGTTGTCTCAAGTCACAACCTCCATCCGCTTTCTGCAGTGTCCCTGTCTGCTCTTAGAAGATGCTGTACTCCTAAGAAGTCTAATGAGGGTTACTATGAGGTCGAATAATTATGAAGTTACCATCTAAGTAGAAATACTCTGCTGAGTGTGTTTATTCCATGCAAGTAGAAATGTTTGTCATATCAGGAATTTAGAATATGGAAAGCTCCAAAAGTAAATATTTTCCCAAGTATTATCTTCTATCAAATAGTTTGTGCCTGTTTTCCCAACAAAGGTAAAAATTATTTGTACAGACAAGCTCTTGAACTTTCAGGTGCTAGACTGATAGTTTGTTTTCACTGTCCAGTCAGGGCTAAGCACAACGGGAAGCTGAAAAGAAGATATTTCTTCACCATTAAGCTGTTGCTAAAAGCAACAGGAAAGCTACAGAGAAAGGATTAAAAGCCCTTTTAGTCACTAATCAGGAGGCAGGTAAAGAGACAATGAACCCCAAAAGCTATTGAATATTAGAACCAGCACAATAACAAAAGCCATTAGAGACATGGGAAAGCCACAGAACATGAAGTGTAGAGGGCAACATGTCATTTTTCTCAAATCAAAGGCAACATTTTATTTCACATCCTGAAAATGACAAAAGAACAGGGCCCCATATGAGCATTTTTATACTGAACCACCCAAACTTCCCCAGGGGATTTTTGATCCAATGAGTGTCAGAGGTTTCAGTGGAAACATCTGGCATGCAGCAATCCTGCTTTATTGTCTTTTTGTCAAATGTCCTGTTAGAGAAACTCATCAAATCTAAGCACTGCCCAGGATTTCATGGAGGGTGCCTGTTCTTTTTATTTGTTATTGTTCTCACGCAAAACAGACACCATCCCACAGATGTCTGCACAGGGACCTCAATCCCTGGCACAGGAGCACACTACCTCTACAGAAGCATGGGGAATTACCCATTACTGGTCCTGTGAGAGAAACGACAAGTTTTTTTCCATATGTCATCACCAGAGATGGTCAGGTTTTCATAGAATCATTGAATTGTAAAATCATTTAGGTTGGAAAATACCTTTAAGATCGCTGAGTCCAACCATTAGCCTAGCACTGCCAAGTCCACCACTAAATCATGTCACTAAGCACCACATCTACACTATCTTCTAAATACCTCCAGGGATAATGGCTTTGGGACACATCTCTTGTAGGAATGAGCAATAACAAACTACAGACTCTCTCCTCCTTGTTAATAAATTGGACAGACTCTGCAAGTGCTAGATCTTTATATTCAGCACATCAAAAACACTTCTAGGGGTTTTATGTCATATCCTCTCACAGTAACTTAGCACCAGCTTTTCTAGCCATCACCAGTCACTTCTTGGTATTGATAACTTCTTTCCTCCCATGCAGTTCTGAGCCGGCTATGGTCTCCATCCATATTGACTTCAGCAGCATCATCTGAATCAGGAAACCAAACAGGGCCCAGATTTGGACACACCATTATCCCCCTTGTCTAAGTGCTACCCTGTTCCTTAGAATGATTTTGCCAACCAGTATTATCCCAAACAGGTAATCCAGTCTGAGACACAACAGAGTTAGTCCCACTCGTCAGGTTTCACAAGGTCCCCTCCAGGTATTTTGGGTGGAAGTAGAGGAGACGGAGAGGACAGCCTTGCCCATACCTACTCAAAACAACATGCCCTGCTGCCTACAGGCAGCTGTAGGACCCTGCACTAGCCCTTTCGCCAGCCCCACTACCAGTGCAGAGGCAGCCTGAGTTGTAACAGCCACTTCGATACAGCGCTAGATACTGCCCAGCCTCTTCTATGTAGCTCCACCTGTCAGACCAAGTCCTAGCACTGCAGTCATTACTTGTGTTTTAACAGTGTCCAGGTCCAGCCTACACAGTTTAGCTACATGTTCAGTGGTAAATGAAAACTTATCCTGGCCCATTCCCTGTCCCTGAGGCCGACTATGTTGAAACTACTCACAATCATGCTATTAAACACTTTTACCCATCAAAACAGAGTGGTGATACCCAATCTCAGTCCTATATCCAACCTCAAGCCATCTCTGGACTGCTTAGGAGAAGGCTCACTGGGCCAAAGCAGAAAACCATACCATGGACCATGCTATTACTAAAGAGTACAGATCTATTTCCAGTATCCATGCCCAGTCCCTCATACTGTTGGTTTACCAGTATACATGTAGCCCTAGACATGCAGCTTATTCAGGCACAGGTCAGGCCTCCGTATTCACAGATATCAACAGCAAAACCCTCAACTCTTTAATTGCCAGGCTGCTTCAGCTCAACATGTGCTATCCAAAATGATTAGAAAAGCAGAAGAGACTCTCTATGCTTCAGCTATAGATGGGGCTGAAATCCCCTAGCACAGAAAGTAAGGCACAGAGATCTTGAAAGCCTCTTTTACATGGACTTTTTGCAAACTTTAATATTGAAAATATATCCAGGAAAACAGTCACCTGTTAGGATTGCAGCATGTAAACCATACAATAATTTAGTTGTAAGAAATATTTGGAGCCTATCCAGTCCAACCTCCCACTCAAAGCACAGCCAGCTTTGATGTTACATCAGGTTGCTCAGGAATTTGTCCAGGCAAGTTTTGAGAATCTGCAGAGATAAATATTCCTCAAACTCCTTGGGCACGTATTCTGGGGATAAACCCCTCTCCAGGTGAAGAATTTTTTCCTTTTATCTAATCAGATTTCCACTGCTGCAAATCGTGTTCATTGCTTTTGGTGTTGTCAAGGTTTTTTCTGTGTGTCTCTAAGAATAGTCTTCTCTAGAGACTTCTCTTAGTTAGTTGAGAACAGCAATAAGATCCTGCCCTGAGCTTTCACTTCTTGAAACCGAACAAACACAGACATCCCTCACCATTTCCCCATGTGCTGTGTGCTCCAGCCCCCTGACCAGTTTGGTTGCCCTTCACTGGACTTAGAGTCACAGAATCATAAAATTGTTTAGGTTGAAAAAGACCTTTAAGATCATTGGTCCAACTATTAAAGGAGCAATGAGAGAGGCATCACTAAAACATGTCCCTAAGCACCAAATTTATATGTGGTGGAAGGCAACAAAGATGGTGAAGGATCTAAAGCACAAGTGTTAGGAGAGGCTGAGATAATTGGGTTTGTTCAGCCTGGAGAAGAAAGGCTGAGAGGAGACCTTACCACTCATACAACTACCTGAAAGAACGTTGTAGAGAAGTGAGGACTGGTCTGTTCAACCAAGTAACAAGTGATAGGACAAGAGGAAATGGCCTCAAGTTGCACCAAGGGAGGTTTGGATAGGATATTAGGAAGAATTTCTTTACTAAAAGGGTTATCAGGCATTGAAATGGGTTGCCCAGGGCAGTGATGAAGTCTCCATCTCTGGAGGTATTTAAGAGTTGGGTAGACATAGTGCTTAGGGATATGTTTCAGTCGAGGACTTGTCAGTGTTAGGTTAATGGTTGGAGCCGATCGAGATCTTTTCCAAGCTAGGTGATTCTATTAATTCTGTTAATTCTGTCTCTTAAATGCCTTAGAGGACGGTGACTTACTTAACCACTTCCTTGGGCAGCCTGATCCACTTTTACAACCTATTTCCTTATCTGGGGAGCACCAGACTGGATGCTCCAGTACTCCATTTAAGTGGAGCACCGCAATACCAAATAGAGTGAATAAACCCTCTCCTGATGCACCTACAATATTCTTACTAAGTCCAGCATCCGCTTAGCACCATTGCCACAAGATCACATCACTGAGTCATGTTCAACATACAGATCATTACCAAAGATGTTAACCAATATTGATCTCTGACTGCTTTGAAGTGGCTGCCAGTCTGACTTCAACATAACATGGTGGAGATTTCTTGTACTCCATTTCCTTGGCCCTTATAGCAAACAGCCACATTTTAGGCAAGTCTTTACCGTTTCCACTGACCTCCAAACTCTAGCAAGCACCAAAATCTAGTGAATACAGGAGTGGCAGAAAGTCACCTGAGGTATCCACGTTACAAGATCCAGCTAAACTCTACTGACTTCCATACAGTAAATCCAAATACTCTTCTAATTTTCCCCAGGGAATGGCCTGAGCCATTCTTTTGGAACCAACAATATTCTTCCAGAAAAAAAAAAAAAAAAAAAAAAAGACTCTATGAGCAAATTTTGACAAAGTTTCCACTTCAGAGATTTTCCTTTGGTCACAACAGAGATTTTTCCCTATTTTTTCTTCCACATAATTTCTAAGCACAAGTGCCTTGTGCACTCCCCTAAATGCCAGGGCAAGCAGTCAGCAATACTTTGAGGGAGGACTACACCAAAACTGAAACTCGCTTGGTTTCATCTCTTGGTGTTTTTGATCTGTCAGTGTGTTCATCCTCCACATATCACATTGAACTGAAAAATGTAAGTGCAGTAATCAAAACCTCCAAATGGGATCATCTCCCTTACACCCTTCAAAGGATTTGAGATAAGGAGGTCATTTAGCTGGATGCCAAAATG